CATAAAATAAGGTGGTGCTACTTACAACAGACAGAATTTCTTCTTATTTACGGTAAGAAAGTTTGTAAAATCTACTGTTTGTTGAATTGGCAAAGTGATCCGGGATGTTTTAATCTTTTGATGGATAATGGGAACTGTATGGTGTTAAAATTTTTTAAATACCCCCAAGAGTTACTGAAATAACTTAATATTTTAATGTCAGTGCGCAATGTGAGCGTATGCTCGCCTTGTTATATTTGGTTGCAAAGCATAAAAAAACCACAGGCATTGTCTGTTGTTGGCGAGCATAACTAGAACCGCGATCTTGCTATTCAAGGCAATTGACATGTGCACGCCCTGGTTATTAGAAACACGCCCAAGATCTAAAATCCTAGCTAAGACCCTGATCACAAGTGCAGATAACAGATACAAATATTTCCAGTAATTAACAACGGCGAGTAATAACCGAATCACAACAACGGTAAACGAAACTAAAATATCACGATTATGTACTACAAGCCTTAATAAAATATTTTTCTTCCTGGCAGCAGGCTCCTCAGACCAAAAATTCCCTGCCAATTTCCTGTGAATTTATATCAGTATTCATCCACTATTCAATAATAGTAGTACGCGCCCTTGTTTTCCACATGTATCATAATCATGAATCATGATAACAGACAGTCGTAGCACTACCACATGATACAAAATTTTTATGTTATGATTGTTGTATTTATGCTCTAATTGTGATGTTTGTTACTTTAATTAATGCTAATTTTTGAAATTTCTCGACCTTCATTCTTGATATCTAACTTGCTTTTCCTTAAAAATTTCCTGTGAGATTAAAAGAATTTCCTGGCAACATGCTGCCATGCTGGCGGACTTTCTCATGCCTTGATTGTACTATTTGGACATTCTTAGAAATCAGAATGATCAAAAATGAAGTTCTAGCTAGTAAAACCATTTTCTAACAAAACAATTCAGTACGATGTCACGGTGTAGTACTCATGTCCCCTACTTCGGAGAAAAGATATATTAGCTTGCCTTCATATAAACATGCCTAAGATTTGCGTTCTACAAGTGCCGCTATATATATTATTTAGTTTTTAAAGCCGTAATTGCCGCCCTGAATAAGCTGTTGTTTACAAATCCTTATTGAGTTCTCTCGTTTCACGATGTCATTGTCTGTATAAAACTGTAGGCAAAGTAACAGAGATCTAAGTAAAATATATTTCTTAAAATTGCTAAAATTTTACATTCTCCCTCCTGACATATATTTGCCGATATTTTTGCGAGTATACACGCGTCACTTGTTTACATCCACCAAATGTCGGGGCTTAACTCGAATGCTTAAATCGTTAATTGACTTCGAGTTAAGCCACAGACGAAAAAGGGCGTGGCAGGGGCTTAACTCGAAAAGGGCTTAACTCGGAGGGCTTAACTTGAAGGGCTTAACTCGAAAAATACCTACCCCAGCTTTATGTTTTGTGAAGATAAGTGTAACTCCTTATATCCATAACAAAACCAATGTAAGCTGCAGACAAAGCCATAATACAATCAATAAACTATATATTTTCATTGTACAATCTTTCGAAACATTCATTATCTAATATGTGAAGGTTTGGTTAAATTAAATCCATCAAACCGTTTTTGTTTCAGGATCAGTTCATAGCCTGCGATAAGACATAGTTAGACATAAGCCATATTATTTTTCACATTTTAACATGTCATCTCAATGTAAACTTGGTTTCGCTGAAGTTATATAAATTATCTATACCCAGCAAAATACTTGTTTATCTGTAAGTTCATGTATGTATATAGGTAGTCGGGTGTGCGGGTTGTGATAAGGTGGACTTCAATAATCTGGATTCTTGCATTTCACTTGGTGGAATTAATATTAGAATGTTAGGGTTTGTAATCCAAGTGAGAATATATACATTTTTTAAGACCTAACCAGGAAAAACTGCAGCACAAGGTCCTTTGGTAGGAGTTGAACCTACGGCCCTGCGATTCCGGTGAATCCGAATTGCAGGGCCGTAGGTTCTGAGAACTGCACCGGAATTAATCGCAGGGCCATATGTAGGTTTAATTCCTACAAGAGGACCTTGTGCTGCATTTTTCGCAGTCGTTCCTGGTTAGGTCTTAAAAAATGTATATATTCTCACTTGGATTAATTACAAACCCTAACATTCTAATATTAATTCCACCAAGTGAAGTGCAAGAATCCAGATCATTAAAATAATAAAGTAGGGCACATCAGGGCGCAATGCGACTCAATGGGTTAAATATTAGACACATGGCCAGATAGGCCAGTTAACCCGGCCATCAAGCGCCAGCTCTCTCCCCCTGACAAGTAAAATTGTCTGGCGTTAGACAGATTAAAATAATAAAGTAGGGCACATCAGGGTGCAATGTGACTCAATGGGTTATATCTCATCTATCAGAATAGCATGAGCTTCACAAGTCTATGTCTAAATTATAGTAAGGTGGCTTTATGAGGTTTTATAAAGATTACTCTAACACCTTATATAATCATAACAAAACCAATATATAAGCTGCCAACAAAGCCATAATACTATCAATGAACTATATATTCATTGTACAATCTTTCCAAACATTCATTCTGTTTAATATATGTGATGATCTGGTTTAATTCCATCAAACCGTTATTGTTTGAGGTTCAGTTTATAGCCTGTGGATCGATCAAGTCATATTTAGTATTAAGGCATATTTTCACATTTCACATTATTCAAGTTACTTAACCAAAACATATTTTGAAGGCTAAGTCACCTGACCTCACATTTTCCACGAGCAACCATGTATTTTGTAATATTTTTATTTGGGGGGTAATTATTGAAAAATTTGGTGTATTTTAATTTATGTGGTACGGTACCGGTATTGACCAGTATTGTTCTAACTTCCCTGAAAAAATCTTTTATTTTGCCAGGAGCACTAATATTATGCCTGTTATTGAAAAAACAAACCAAATTGCTGTAACCCAACCAATCATACACTGTCTTTAATTTAAGCATAGTACAATATCAGTGGAAAACAGGGTTTCCAAAAGAATTTAACACACAAATTATTAGCAAATAGCAATTAATCAAGTTATTGTATCACAATGGATGAGACATTTGTCAAAATTGGCAGCTTTGGGTTGTCTATAACTGCATGGTAAAAACAACTAGTTGCTGGCTTGGTTGTCATGAATGGTTGTACTGCACAACTTGGTCCAATTTTTCCATTTAAAACATATAAATACTGGCTTGGTTTTGTATAGTATATTCACCTTTGGAACTAAATGCCTAATATAAAATGTGTATATGTGATGCCCTGAATGCAGCAAAAAGCATTAAGCAGTCATATTTCAAATGTTGTATTAGGGTGTGCATGCCATTTATGACTTTTGTCAGTTTTGTGTACTGAAGTATTAGGCAACCTGGCATAAGTATAAAATTTGAATGTTAAATGCAAGTAGTCTACATGAACAAATTGCAGGTGGCCAGCTGCTTTTATGAAGGCTATTAAAATCCAAAGAGCATCAAACCAAAGTACTGTACGTAATTAGACATCCAGAGTAAGAGCATTTTTACAATGGATTTAATAGCCTTTGTTTTTAATAGTGACAGGACCCAAAAGATTCTATTTTATATAAATCCACCAAGTATCATAATCCTAACATCAAAAGCCAAGGAACACAGTTATGAAAATAAAGAACTGCTGTTAAAACAACACAACAAACTAGAGTATAGTGTAGTATAAATGAAAGCTATAAGCCGGGCAATTGCCTTTGGACTTTGGTCCAAAAAATGACAGTAATGCCATATAACTGCCTACTAATTCGAGAAAATAACAAGCTTAAGTACGTATTTGTACATCTAGATTTCGTGATTATACAATATTAAATAACAAAGTAGAGAAATGAATACTCCATACCTGTCACGCTATGCATGTTTAAATTGACTTTGACACTTGCATTTTGGTGTTTTTTCAACAATCTTTCCACTACTTGTATGCCAATAATGACATCACAAAAATAATTTTCATTTCAACCACGACGTTACCAAAAGCTTTTAAACCATATTCTGGTATAACAATATGACAGGGAAGCTTTTTAAAGCTTTCAAATATGACCTGTCAACAAAATAACTCTTTCTTACCGCCATCTTGTTTTTTTTTTGAAAAAAATAGATACGAAGTGTGTACATGCATGCCAGGTGACAAAAGTGCCACACAGGTTACAAAAGTGCCACATGAGGTTACAAAAATGCCACACGAGGTTACAAAAATGCCACACGAGGTTACAAAAATGCCACACGAGGTTACGAAAGTGCCACATTTAGGTTACAAAAGTGCCAATACCTCTTGCTCTCTGTCTGTCTGTCTGTCTGTCTGTCTGTCTGTCTGTCTGTCTGTCTGTCTGTCTGTCTGTCTGTCTGTCTGTCTATCTATCTCTCTATCTCTCTCAAAAATTTGGAAATTATTGTAATTGAGGTTATAAAGCCTTATTCTCAACCTTTTCTTATTATAGCGTGGTACAGACCACCGAAAAGTCCTTTACAATGTTTTGAGCAATTTGAGAATCTTTACAAAACAATTGATAGTAAATACAAAGAAATTTACATTTTAGGTGACCTGAATTGTAATTATCTATTAAATCCCCCTGAGTGTCATACACAACACCTTAATAATTTATTAGTTAACTATCAACTGAATCAAATCATTGTTGACCCAACCAGAGTAAATAGCACTTCGCAAACATTGATTGATTTAATAATTACTAACAAATCTGATTCTATTATCAATTCGGGAGTTTACCCTCTGTCAATAAGTGACCATTATTTAATTTACGCAGTACGGAAAATTGGCATACGTAATGGTAAACCACGATATATTGAATGTCGAAACTTTAAAAACTTTAGTGAATCTAAATTCATAAAGGACCTAAAATCTGCTCATTGGCCTATAATTAATGAGTTTGATGATGTCAATGATGCATGCGATACATGGACATCTGTTTTTAGTGAAGTGATTGAAAAACACGCGCCTGTACGTAGTTTCAGAGTTCGTAATAAACCTAGTCCTTGGCTTAATTCAGAACTCAAATATTTAATGATAAATAGAGATAAACTGAAGAAAAAGGCTATTTCATCCAATAATTCTGAATCTTTGTCTGCTTATAAGCAGCAAAGAAATTTTGTAAATAATAAGATCAAAAAAGCGAAAAAGGCATATTTTCAAGACGAACTCAACAGAAATGTAAATAATGTTAAAGAAACATGGAAAATTTTAAATAATGCGTTGGGAAAGAAATCGGATAACATCGAAATAAACACGCTGTCATCTGACTCAGGAGAAATCTTAACCGAGTCATTTGACATTGCAAATTCGCTTAATAAACATTTCGTTGGAATTGGTCCGAAATTGGCCTCCAATGTTCCCCTTTTAGGCAAGGTTGCAACAGCTAAGGATTACATGACCCAGGTTGAATCATCATTTGAATTTCAAAAGATAGATTCTAAAGACGTCTTTAAATTAATAAACAAATTAAATTTGCGTAAAGCTTCGGGCTGTGATAAAATATCAAATAGATTATTAAAAATATCTGGTCCTTATATTTATGAAGCTTTAACAAATTTGTTCAATCTTTCTCTTACAACAAATAAATTTCCGACAAGGTGGAAAATTGCAAAAGTCTTTCCATTACATAAAACAGAGGAAAGGGATAATGCAAATAATTATAGGCCTATTTCGGTGTTATCTTCAATTGCACGTCTTTTTGAGCGCCTTGTGTATAACCAAATGTATGCTTATTTATCTAAACATAGACTAATCAATACCCGTCAATCTGGATTCCGTTCACTTCACTCTACCATGACAGCCTTGCTGGATATGACAAATCAATGGTGTTTTAATATTGATAAAGGGATGTTAAACGGTGTGATTTTTCTTGATCTAAAGAAGGCTTTTGATACCATTGATCATGCAATTTTGCAAATGAAACTTGCATGTTATGGTTTGAAAGAGTGTAGTTTGGAATGGGTTGAATCCTACTTGACAAATAGGGTACAAGTTTGTCATGTAAATGGCATATATTCAAATGAAGAAACCATTTCCTGCGGGGTTCCACAAGGTTCCATTTTGGGTCCGGTCTTATTTTTGCTTTATATAAATGACCTACCCAGTTGTTTGGAACATGGAATTGCCAGGCTATTTGCTGACGATACAAATATCACTTCCACAGGTTGCAATTTGGAATCGGTCGAAAATAAAATGCAGATTGAGCTTAATAAAATATTCAAGTGGCTTTGTGCAAACAAGTTGACACTGAATATTTTAAAAACCGATTTCATGGTTATTGCTTCTCGACAAAAGCTAGCGGCCTTGGGAGACTCAATAACATTGTCAGTAAACGGTGTTTCATTAAGCCAAGTTCGTTCGGTGAAATCCTTAGGAGTAAACATAGACGAAAACTTAACTTGGGAAAACCATGTGGAGAGTATTCGCTTAAAAGTATCCCGTAATATTGCTACTTTGAGGCGATTAAAGCCCGTTTTAACACAAAAAAACCTATTATCACTCTATCGGGCGATAATTGAACCATATTTCATTTATTGCTCCATAGTTTGGGACAGCCTTGGTCAAACATTAGACAGGTCTCTACAAATTTTACAAAATAGGGCTGCCCGTGTGATCACTGGGGCACATTTCTCAACATCATCCTCAAAACTCTTAAAAGAACTTGGCTGGATGAATATTCAGGAAATGAGGTATAAACAAAAGGCTATGATGATGTATAGAATAGTAAATGGTAATGCACCATATTATTTAATAGACATATTTCAACATTGTCATGCTTTGGATATATATAATCTCAGAAGGTCTAAAATAACCTTCGAACTTCCAAAAAATCGAACACTGTATTACAATTCAAGTTTTGCCTTCACTGGTGCTAAATTATGGAATTCTCTTCCGGATGAGATAAAAGACGCACCATCACTTAAAATATTTGTAAAAATGTTAGACTCGACTATATTCTGTGCCAACTAGAATATGTTTTCTGTATATAGTTTTATATTGAAATATTAAGATACACGGCTTTTAGGAAGAACAAATGTAAATATGTCATATCTACAATTGATAAAACCACCGTGGTTAAATAAAAATTTCAATCAATCAATCAATCTATCTATCTATCTATCTATCTATCTATCTATCTATCTATCTATCTATCTATCTATCTATCTATCTATCTATCTATCTATCTATCTATCTATCTATCTATCTATCTCTATCTATCTCTATCTATCTCTCTATCTATCTCTCTATCTATCTCTCTATCTATCTCTCTATCTATCTCTCTATCTATCTCTCTATCTCTCTCTATCTCTCTCTATCTCTCTCTATCTATCTATCTATCTATCTATCTATCTATCTCTCTATCT